ATCTTCTTCCACCTCCTTTTCAATCTCTTGTCACATGCAACTAACTTAAGATGCTTGTCTGTCTATCTGTCTCTCTGTGCGTGTGTGTGTGTGTGAGAGCCTTGCGGCCCCGACTAAACACTTTTGCTCCCCCCTCTCCTATGTCTATGTTTTTGTATCTTTTGCAGAGCGATATGAGCGACTCAGCGCCCAATACGCCCGGCCCCGGCTCGGCCCCCAAAAAGTATTACCGCCAAGCGGCTCATAGGTAAGTGTGAAACGTAATCCACCTAAACACACTAAGAGTTGCACCGACTTCCATATGACCTACAAATGTAGCAGTTGTGATATTTAGGATCTGAGATTAATTTATTACGAATATATTATATGTATATACTTGAGGTTACGGGCTTGCACTATAAGCTGTACAACTAAGAAATATTTCTAGAAATATATAATTATTTTTATTTTATTCACTTTACAACCTAGAGTGTGAGCCCGTTACCTTCCATTTAATGTCAGGTGACGTCACGCACTTGCCGCTTGGGGTCGGAGATCCAACGATTGTGGGGGTAAACAAACTCAATGTTGCGCCCGACATTGGGAGCGCCACCTCCTTGGCTCATTAGAGTGACACGAGTAGCTGCCCCAAATTCTTATCATCAGCGTCACTTGTTGTTACTGTCGATTGTCGCTTGTCGATTGTTCTCTGTTGATTTTGTTTTGTTTTTGTTTTTGTTTTTGTTTTTACTCAACCCTGTCACAGAGCAGGTGACATAGGTCATAGACTGCGCACATTTGAGCCGCTTTCGGGCCTTTCAATGGACAAGGTCAAAAGACGTGGAAATTGAATCTATTCGATGTTCATTAAATATTCCAATTAATTTTATTCTAGTATCTATCGAGGTGCGGCAAGTAGATTCAACCTGTGAGATAGATAATATAGTGAGTTACTTTTATGGTGTGACGTAATGCATCTATTATATTATATATAAAGACATATTTCTATATATTCATGATTAGTTTGATTATCTTTGAATTAGTGTTCAAAAACTTTTATAATGGGCAAGTCCGATTATTTATTAATTTAATATATTGTTCAGATTTAGCTCCCATTTTGCTTTGCAATTTCTCTCAGTGCATTCAGGCACTTTTTCGCTCAGTAATCGCTGCCCACATACGTTGCTCTTCTACGATTCTGCTTAGGGCCCATGTCGAATGCACCTTATCGCCTTATCTGAGAGGCGCAGCAACTACAACTGACAGCAAACAGCAGAGAAGAAGAAGAAGATACAACAACATCAATGAGCATGACGTGCATGTAGACTTTTTCATACACTTCCCTATCGACTGTATGGATATTTCTGTGTAGTAGTACCTGAAGAAAATAAATACATATATTGAAATGTTCAATCACAAACAATTAATCGAAGAATACATACATACATATATGCTCTATAGGGAGTTCTGTAGGGTATGTGGAATAGGTTGAGAGTATAGGCATTTACTTTTGCTATTCACAGTTCCGCATATAATATAGAAATTATGCAACTCTATATTATCTTTATAGATAATCAAGTGAGATAGGAAGTCATATCTCTATAGACATACATATTTTGGGGTATATATAATAGAGTCTTCATATATTCGCCACGATTTGATTGCTTCTCATGTTTGACAACCAGTTCTGTGGATGTTTTTTTTTTTTCATAGACTTTTAAGTGGGCATTCCGAAGTGAGTGTCAACTGCATTTTCCAATTAGAGCGTCAGGCTTCCAAGACACACACACATCTATATCTATAAGTATATACATATATCTATCTATCTGCCTATATATATTCATATAGAAATATATATGCTTGAGTCAACATCTGCGTAATGCAGCTGACATTGACACAGAGCAAACTGTTTTAGTCTGCTCTGTCGTATTACCCAATTGGAATACCCTACTTTTGGCCTCTTCCATGCCACAGGCACAATTCCGATGCTTCGAGGCGTATGTGCGCTGGTGCGTGTGTGTGTGTGTGTGTACTCGACACATATTTGCAGTTGCTGTGCCAATATTTGCCTATTTTTGTTTTCGTTCAATGGATTTGAATTTCGATTTGGATTCTTGTGGGTTGCTGCTGCTGTTACTGTTGATGTTTGTTTTTTCTCATTTTCCTAATCGACCCAATCTTGAAAATTGAAAAGCAATCTTAACCAAGTATAAATAAACAGTTATGCGCCTGAGTTGAGCAAATCATTTGGATCTACTTGATATATTCGTCCACTTATGAAATTCAAATATAAACACCAAAATCGGACTGAAGGCGACCAAAATAATTAACAATAGAGTCTAAATTTGGCCAGGTTTATCAGGCCAGTTCTTGCTCAGGGGAGCAGAGTGAGCGAGAGAGATAGAGAGGGACAGGCGAATAGATAAGTAGCTTTACTTAGTTCATTGTATTCGAGTAAGCTTAGAAGATTTAAAATATATCAAAATAGAGTCTTAAGGTACATAAGTCAACTAAGAGATACCCTGTAGATAACTCGTGTGGGTACTCTCTCTATTTATATAGAAATTATTTCTTGGATCAAACTTTATCTGTAAGCTGATCTGTATTTGAGAGCCTACAGACCACATTTAAATATATACGAATATGTCTAGGTATGATTCAGTGTATAGTCTATATTGATGTCTATTTGTAGTACCAGAAATCGATTATTTCATCTATGTACATACATATATCAAATCTAATTCAGATTGAAAGACTTACATATAATAAGATAGGTACAACTTACAAACACTTGGCGAAACCCCCTAAATATTCGCTTTCAAAGTATACAGGGTATACGAATTATATTCAAATATGATAATAGATACATATAGACTAAAAAATTTCTGTGTCAAATTTTATGGCAATCGTAAATACTATAAAAAATATATATATGCCTGCATATTTATGTACATATATATAGATATATTCCATTGAGATATCTTGTTCATAAAATGTGTGTAAATTGTTAATAAAACCAATCGAGATGCAAAGCGCGTGCCTCATAAATAGTAAAGTATTTAAATATTGATATTCATATTAAGCTTAAATACAAATACCTGTCTCTGAGTAGGTGTGTGTGTGTGTAAGTGCGTGGCCTGACAAACTATGTGGACATATGAAATATTTATGAATCCAACACAGCAAAAAACACGCTCAGCAAATCATTACTATAATTGGACAGTGCGTGGCAACAGTTTTCGCACTCACGGCGATTGTTGGGCATTTTTGATGTGCTTTACATATGTAGGCACATTAGCCTAGTACAGTGCCCGCTCGATAGCTGTGAATAATGTTTTGATTGTTAATTTCTCAAAAAAATCGAATTTAAAAGATTTGATTAACATTTCCTTCTCTTTGTTGTGAAACTCAGAATGGTTTTTGTTAGACAATGGCCCATTTGTGTCAGGGAAATCCAAGAATTTTGTGAGGTATTTGCTAATGGGAATTTCCACTGTACTCGTATTTTGTATAAATTGAATGCGTATTTGCTGTCCATTTACTTTTGGCCAGTCATCTGAATATATGGCCCCAATACAGCATATCAAAGCCAATTTGTCAGCCAATGGTGTCAAAGCAAATCAAATAATATACATACATATGTATTTGCATATCCAGCAACCTGACTAATATGTAAACACACATTTGTTGTAATATTAACAAACGAATTCATAGTTTGTCCGCTCCGTTCCGTAGATAACAAATATAAATATATATGTATGTAAGTAATGACATACATACACACATTGTATGCATATACACGTTTCACTTTGGAAAATGAGAAAAAACAAAAAAATTCCATAGCCCGTTTAGCCAAGTCACAAACCCACGCACTAATCTCCACGCCCAAACATTCAAACCAAGCTTGTGTTAATGTCCGTGTGTGTGTGTGTGTGTGTGTCTATGTGTGCGTGTGCGTGTGCGTGTACGTTGTCTATTGTGCGCGCTATTTATAATTTCTCATTTGCTTTCAAATGAGTCTTCCGACAGGCACTTTAAAATTTCCCTGGGTCCCAGCTATTTTCAAGCGTACTCGTCTGTCTATTTGCTTCATGGCGTGAAGATAAAAATCAATTGAAAGCAACAAAACACAACAAATTAACGCACTCACATACAGAGAAGTTTTAATACTCTGCTTGATGAAATGCATAGGCAAGCATATTCACAAGCACAAGTTCTAGTAATTAATAATTATTCATTAATACAAATGTTATTTAAGGCAAAAGATATGAGAGAGCATTTCTTAATACACGATTATCTATGTATATCTATTCGCAACCATGACGCTGAGCGATGATGTAGCTGAAATGCCGACGGCAAGAAGCGCGCCACTCGAAATAAAAGACAAAAAACTTTGTGTTTATTGCATAAAAGGCATGAAAACAACAACGCTTCAAATCGTTGAGAGGAACAATAACAACAAAGCGAGGAACGACAACAACAGCAAGAGCGACAGCAGCGAATACAAGTACACAGCTGTGCTATGTGCGCTTACTCTTTGACACGCAAATGTGTGGAGAGCTTTCGACGCCGTTGTGAGAGAGAGCATGCGCGCGTCGCTCAGCTGCCTTCGTTCTCTTTTGCTTAGTTGCCGTCTTCTTCTTCTTCTGCTTCTTCTAGTTGTTGTTAGTGCTGGCGCTGCTGCTACTACTACAGCTACTAGTGCTGCTTCCTTCCCATTTCTACTACATTGCATTCGCTCAGCGTCGCCGTCGACGCCGCTGTCAGTTGAAATTCGAACGTTGACCGAAATTGTTGCTCTCGTCATAAACTTTTCATCGCAAAAGGCAAAACAAATATTCAAACGAACCCAATTTTTTTTATGCATTTGTTTTTTAATTTCTTTTTTTTTCGTGTGCGGCACTGTGTGTTATCCAGTTCTTTATGTGATAAGCATTAAATGTTAACATTAATACAAAACAAAAAATACCGAAAATTATAAGGAAAAACAAAACAAAACAGAAACAAAACAAAAGCGGAACGCGAAGCAATAACAACAATAATAATAATAAGCACAGCTCACGTACAATATCATTCCACTTACACGCGCCGTTGTTGTTGCTGCTGCTGCTGGCGCTGCTGCTGCGCCGTCTGCGCATAGTTTCGTGACGTTTCCACCAGCCATCTGATAAGGCGCTACATATTTCATATTTCGCACGCACTCTCTCCATCGCTCTCTCACTCGCCCTGTTTCTCTCACTCTGTCATTCTTCAGCCTCCTTGTCGCTCTCTCGTACGACCTCTTTCGCTCAGCCGTTCTCTCGCTCTCGCTCGCGCGCTCTCATTGGAGAAGTGTTTCGGCGCGCTGTGCTATTTGAGTGCTCTGCAATCGTCACATCGCTTATCGGCAGCGACGCGTCGTCGCAGTTATACTGGCATTGCTCTTTGGCACCTTTGGCTAACCAGTCACAGTAGCAACAGCCAGCGCAGTAGAAATTTTACGAAAATGCCGCTAAAACATCAATCACAACAACAACAAAAACAACAACAACAAACACAGCTGCAAATGCAACAATCACATTCCAATAGCAACAACAACAACAAGAATTCCGAATCACGCGAACGAACACAAACGATTGGTGAAACGGACATGGATCAATCGGTGCTGAATGGCCTGCACTTGAACGCGGACAGCTATTATCATGGCCATAAGCGTGAGCAAGGACACAGGTGAGAGCAACAACAACAACAACAACAACCACAGCAACAGTGGCAAGAGCAACAGCGACAACCAACGACACAGCAAAAAAAGAACAGTTCAAGCAACTGCAATATGAGTCAACACCTGAGTCAACAATCATCGTTCAGTTTCGTCAAGTTTCGTCGAATTTCATCAAGATAGCATCCACTTTGCAATATGCAAAATGCTTTTTGCCTTTATCTTAATAATAATCGGCACATCTTTCTTGCTGATTATGTGTGCGACAGAGATAGCAGCAGCTGCACTGACATCTACAAATTGCTCGGCATTTATCACTCTATGCACCTAGGTATAGAGCTATATCTGCCTTAATGGGCTTGTTGAGCATATGCAATTGTGCTTCCTGTTCACGGTTTATTCATCATTTATAATTGATTTGTTGATCTTACCGAGAACTTTTTAGGATATAAATAAAAGCTATATATACTCATATAGCCCCCCTTAGGTCTTTGGCGATGTCTGCGACTGTTTTGAATATATGAAAATTATGTTGAACATATTTTTGTTCGATTTCGACTTTGACAGCCAGGCAAATTTATTTCTGATCTACACTTAGTTGTTAAATCTTATGCCGAAAAATAACTATGGACGAAAATACATTTATAAAGAAGAAGAAAAAACAAAAAGCAGTTGCCATGTTTGGCTTAGACTAAGCACAAAATGATTTATGGGCAGTGGGCTTATTTACGTTTTAGCTGATAAAATTTGCATAAATCTTGTTTTTATGAGCTGCAAAATTAGCAACTCTCTTAGCTCTCCGTACTTGGGACCAGTGGCTGTTAAATTTTAGGTAATACCTATAGGTATATATGAGGTAATTGCCAAGTTGACATAGGATTAGTTGATCAGTGCTATTAAACGTATAACGAAATTCCCCTTAATGAGATGATTTCATGCACTGTCTCAGTCTTGTCCCATGCCAGTGTTGGTCAACGCTTCACGCTTTGGTTTAGCTCTAATTAAGTTTCGTGATTCGTGCAGCTCACTTAATTTACAAAATATGACATATGCGCTTATCTTAACGCTGGTTATCAAGCCGCTTCATGTCAAACTCAGCACGATTAACAACGGATTGCCTTATCTAATCAATCTGTCAATAAATCATGCCATCAATGGCAACTACCGAAATATTCGCAAACATAAACTAATTTCGTTTCGCTTCAGGATCTCTTGAAGTTGCAGATTTCCCAAGTTCCGCATTCGCAGCTGTAATTTGCATTTCCACTCTCACTTTCCCCCACCCGCACAGGTGCAAAGTTGTTGCATATCTTAGGGGCGAATGATGTGCGCCACAATTTATCAACTGCGAGTGGGGCTGGGGCTGGGGCTCGCTTTCTGTGCCTGAGTGGAAGGGGGTTGAGTTGTTGACGTGCCCTTGGCCATGCGTGTGTCTGCCACTCTCTCTCTCTCTCGCTCTTACTCTCCCTCTCTCTCTCTCTCTCTCTCTCTCTGTTAATTATTAGCTGGCAGCGTGCCTAATTGATGTCGTCGCTTTGGCTCTGCCGGCAGCACAGGGCGTATGCGCAATTTCGATAATTTTCTAGCTTATTTTGCAAGCTCTGTATTTTTGCCAATTAATATTAATTTCTGCGCACATGTGGTCACAATAATCTGTGCTGCTGCTAATCAATGCTGATTAGGCTGGGGGCCACGCCCCTTCCGCTCTCTCTCACACACACACAGCCTGTTAACCCTTGCGTCGTAAATCAACTAAATTGACATTTATGTAATTTTCGTTTATGTTTTGCCTGTCGATTTGCATTTCATACTCTAGCGAATAACTTTGTCGAAATACTCGTCCTCCCTCTCTCTCTCTCTGGTACTGTTGTACCTCCTATCCCTCCCCCACCTTCTGGCTTGCACGTGCATCCCGGCTGAGGCGCCATTTTATCGTCAAGCTGAGCTGCCAGACGTGACCGTGCACCTGTTTTGCATGCAGCTCAATTGCAAACAATGGCTCGCCTGAATTGTCTTAAATCAAAAGGCTTTATGCAGGACACGCCCCCGGCCACCTACCGCCCCTCCCTTCCAGGCGGTAGTCCGCAGCTCCTCTCAATCCCCTTAGCCAGTCTTAGCCGCAGCCACAAATTCGATGCCTGCTTCGGGCTCACGTAGTTGCACGTTGGCAACTTTTTGCGCTGCCGGAAACGGAAGAATCGCGCCACAGCAGCGCCAACAACAGCAGCTCCCGCAGCAGCAGCAGCAGCAAAAGTTTAATGTAATTTGCATTTCATTGATATTCGACTGCAAAATGTGTGTTTGTGTTTTTTTCGTTTCTTTTCATTGGTCTCGCTTTTATTATATTTATTAAAAATAATATATTTTTTGCTTTTGCATCCAGCAAATTAATGGCTTTAACATTGTAATTGGCATAGTTTGGCTCTCTGTATACAGTAATTATTATTACCGCTGCGCGTACGAAATTTAATTTATGCAATTTTTTCCATGACTCGGGTCAAGGCCAGCGACAGGATCTACGGCTTATTGGGAATCTCTATAAACCCTATATGACAATAAATTTAATAGGTTTTATTCAATAACGAGAAGAGATTGTGGTTGACATTAGCGAAATTCGAGAGCTAAATTTCGATATAGATGTACTTATAACTAGTAATGCCACAGTCACGGTTCAAAAACAATTGATTTTGTTGGTATTTCACTATGATTTAGTATGGACCCTGCAGCAACTGCATTTTTCCATGTTAAGAGTTTGAAATTAAATGGAATAAATAGTCTATTACGGCTTACAGCGCACCCAGTAGGCGTGGACATACAGTTTTTGGCTCATCCTTAGAAGGAACTTTTTTGGAATTAAGACTTCAACATCCAGTAACTCAATTATCGAGTTTTGTTTAAGTTTAGCTTCAAGGTTAGATTATTTCAGCTCCTAGCACTCTTTCTCTCATTATATATCGTTAATCTTGGAATTAAAGGTCGAGCATTTGAAAAAAAAAACTACAATATTTCCATAATTCTTGCATGAGTAAAAGAAAAATAGATTTCCATTCGATACATTTACCTAGAAATTAACAATCATCATTTAGTCGATCTGAAAGAGGTAACAAATCCTCCGTAGCCGCAGCTTAGCTACCGCCGGACACTTTGTCATGTTGACCCATCATCAAAAGGAAAACGAAGCAAAAAAATGAACGTGAAGCGCGCAGGAAATGACAAATTGCCGGAGAGATTGACAGCTCTGTCACACTTGGCTCTCGAGCGGGCATTAGAAATCGTCAACGCGTTTACGTGCCAGCTATGAAATGCTCGCTGCATTCGAATGCGTCCGGATTGCCAGAACTAAGTGCTGAATGCATATATACGAGAGTACGTGTTGCCTGCCCTCCGAGACCGTGACATTAATTAAATATTTCAAGGATTGTCTGCAAACTGAGCTCCTGCTCACTCGCTCTTCGGCGGGTTAGAGAACGTAAATCTAAGGATGTACTATGGATAGGCAGACGGACTCACATTCCTTTATCTCTCTCTCTCTCTCTCTCTCTCTCTCTCTCCTCAGCTCGGTCTTTTCACTTTCTTTATACAATGAATTTAGGAAATCCCTTGGACCAAAGACTGCCTTCCGTTGAATTTCTTGTCAATTTTATCGGGGCCAGCAAATTGAAGAATTTAAATCTATTTAGGGATTCATATATTATGGACAGAGAGGCCCTTCACTCACTTTCTAGCTAAAGATAAAAGTTTCAGTGGTTCCACGCCTGCATTTGTATTTAGGGCGGACGGACCTTTCATTCTTTGCATATTATATTAAAGTATTCTTAGAAAAGTCCTATTAGGCTAAGGACTTGCTGTGAAAGCCTGTCGAGTGAAGTTATGTTATGGAGATTGATTGTTTGCCACGCCTGGAAGTATCAAGACTGACTGACCTCTCACAAACAAATCTCTCATTCTCTTTATAGGTATAGCTAAAAGTGTTCTCAATATAAACATAAACCTCTCACTCAATGTCGTACTAATGTGAAAACTCTCACAAGTTTCACACCTGGAAGTTGTAAATGCGGACAGATAAGCTCTCTCTTTCTTTTCTTTAACTAAAGTTTTCTGTTACATTTTTTATAGTTGAAGATGTTTCCTTCAATTCTTTAAAGGAACACTAACTAAATAATACAAATAATAATCTAGTCAAGTCTAGTCTTTATGGTCTTCCTAATCTTTCAATGCACTAATGACTTTGCCTATATATGATAAAAAGAGTCCTAGTAGCTTTTCTATTCTACCTAATATATCTATTAATTTGCAGTAATATTTACTATCTAACCATGAAAATTATCTAGGTTTTTTTCATAATTTGATGAATATTTAGTAAATGCTACAATAAGTTTCTCTTATGTATATTTCAACTAAAAATCTCTGATCTCTGGAGTCGTTAGGATCTTATGGGTTACAATTGTTGTTATTTACCAATAAAGTTCTCTATATTTTGTATTTCCTAATGAATACACAATCTTGCCTAACTTACGCTTTGATTGTACATTGATCGAGTAATTAGATCATCAATCTGTTGCGCTTAATTTATTTAGTTTCCAGGAATTTGATTTCTTTATCAATTGAGCACTTCCGCAGTGCGCTTCTTGGGCGAGACTTGGCTGCTCCACTTGAGACTATTTCTCACGCCGCCGCCTTTTGATTGAGTTAGATGGAAGCCGTGCGAAAAAAAGATGGAGAACAGAAAACGACAACAATGGCAAACAATTTAATTTACCTTTATTTATTTATTTTTTATTTGATCAATGACAATTATGCCGCTCACTTGTTGGCATTTGTCCCAGTCTGGCTGGCGGGTCCGCAGCATCAGCATCAGCCTCAGTATTGGGCATAGCCAGAGCATTGGGCTGCCCTTGGAGAGCAGAGCACAGCAGGGGTTGCTCTGCCGCACTGCTGAGGGGTGCCCAGTGGCCCTTGCTGTCTAATTAACCCCGCCATTCACATGCTAAGCCGCCTTCAATCAATTGAA